CGCGACCTTCTTCTCCAGATCGATAGAAAACAACAATATTTTACATGAGCATTGACGGAGGTGGCGGCGGTAGCAGCGCTGATGGATGGTGGTCATTGAGGTTCACGGGGCTAGGACGGAAGTGGTTTGGAGGAGGAAGAAGATGAATAATAATTTTTCCCTTATTTGATATATTTTTTACAAAGCTAACCTATTTTAGAAATTATATTAAAATGATTATTTTATTGATATTAGGGCCCAAAAATTGCCCTTATCAGCTATAATCCCATTTTTTTGCTTGAAAAATGGGTTTTGGGGCAGGGACGGGTTTTAGGATTCTACAACCCGTACTAGTATTAGATGCATGTTCTAAACCCAACCCGCCCCTACCCTTGAATGCGGGGAGGGTAGGGTTAGGGAGGGTTTGGATTAAGGGTGTCCACGGTTCGGTTAACCGAACCATGGGCATATTTTGCAAACCAAACCAGTACTACCGGTTTTTGTATTAGTTCAAACCGAACCGAACTGAAACAAGCAGTTAATTGTTTCAATGGTTAATCCCCCCCCCCCCCAATGGTTGTGTAGCCCCATTAAATAAAATCTCCTCAAGATGATGAAGTTTGTTAGGTTTTTGGCTTGATCCTTAGTAACTTAATGGTATACTTGGGTTTCTTTTGGTAATTTCTTATTTCGAAGCAAAAGTTGGCTTTTCTTTGTCTTTCTTGTGAAACAAATATTTAGGCTATATGTGAGAGTGTAAGAGGGCAGCATTGCAAAAGTATGTAGACTCGGTTGCATGATAGGGAAGCCATTCTTCTAGTTTAGAATAAGTATGTTAGATTTCAGAATTATCGCTCGGTTTGGAAGGAGTAATAATACCAATATGTATAATACAAATACATACAAAGTATATGACTTTGCATTCTATATATGTTGGGAATTGGGGTCACGAAGACTTGGAGGAGAAGCTCTGAGTCATGTCTAAAGACACTTTCTTTAGAACGTTATTTGCCCCTACTCAGTTTTACTGAGTTTGCTGTCGAGTTACAAGCAAATTCATTCCCAAGATACAATAGAGCCTTGGGCGAGAATTTGAAACCAACAAAGTTGAAGAATCTCCGAAGAAACCTTCTATGAGACAATAGCATATCGGGCTGAGAGAGATAAGAGTGATTTTTCAAAACTTTTGTGTTTATTTGCTTGATTCACACTCCATATATAATTCTGGAGAGTCTTCTTGAAGAGAAAGGTGCTGGTTCAAAGAAGCTCTTTGTGCAGTCACAATTTCAAAGTTTGTCACTGTTCAAAGTTAGTTAACAATTAACTTTTGAATAATACCTCTTGATCACACCCGATCAAACCATGACCATTAGATTTTCTTAAAATGTACCTTTTGGTGTAGTTTAACCTTCGCACCAAAAAAATCATTGCGCCACACATACGCGTGCACACGTGTTTCACAATATAGCAAGCCTCCACACTCTCCTCTTATAATTCTAAGGAGTGTAAAGAGGCATCTACTTAAAAACTCAAAACAAGTTTAGTAATTTTCCAATATGGAACAAGGCTTTAAAGAAGAGAAACAAGTTGAAAATTGGTTTTAGTATGAGATTTAAAAACTATTTTCAAGATATATGTGCAAGTATTTTCATGTAATTAATCAATCAAACCCCATTAGATTTAATCTCTAGTGAGGTTAAAATCCAACAATATATTTGTATTTGTACTCCTTCCAAACAAAACCTAAGCAATACTCAACTACTTTTTGAGTGTTCATTTAACTCCTTACAGGTTAATGATTGATCTTCTTGGACATGAAAGGTATTCAGAGACTAGAGAATTGATATATAGGGTGATAGTCATATGTGATATTCGAAAGCAAGAGAATTGATATCCTCTATACATGGCCTATGCAAAAGTTGAAATTGGCTTCAATGTTTACACCGTTCGCACAGCCTTTGCAGCCTTGCATTGGGAATATCTCCCCATGAAAAAAGTATATAAGTACAAAGATATTCCCAATGCAAGGCTGCAAAAGGCTCTGTGAACAGTGTGAGCACAATCTTGTGAACTAAAGCCGATCTCGCAAAAGTTGTATATCAATTAGGCCCCTCCAAATCTCTCTCTCATGTTTTCAATCACTTGGCCAACCCCCTCCTATAATTTATCCTAAACTATTTCTCCCACCTAAAATTCTTCTTAAAACACCTCTTAATCTATATTGCCACATGGCAGCCCTCTCTTTTTCACTAGAGTTCCACTCCAACTCTCTCTCTCTCTCTCTCTCTATGTTACCAATTGGCTCAACCCCCTCCTAAAATTTCTCCTAAACAATCTCTCCCATCTAAAATTCCTCCTAAAACACCTCTTAATCTATATTATAAACCATCTAAAAGCCAAAAACATGGGTAAATTAATTAATTAAATTAATTTGTGAAATATTTTTTATATTTTCAATAATTACTAATATTATTGAATATTACTTAGTAAATAACAACACCTAAACTATAATTTTTTTGTAATTTTGGTAAATTGAAAATTTTAATTACCAAGAATTACTTTATGAAAATTACTGATTTTGATAATTTAATTTCAGATTTTTTTGAAAATTAATTATTGAAATCAATAATTACTAAAAATTAAAAATTAATAAAAATATTAATAAATGCAAATTTAATAATTAAAAATTATAAGTAATTTTTAGCAATAAGTAGTTATTGATATTTTCAGTTATTTTGGTCAATTTATTAATATTTAATGATAATATCAAACAATAACAAAAATTTCCATTAATTTTTTAGTGGAAAATTAATTTCAATAAATATAAAATTATTTTTTTTTATTTTCAGTAATTTTGATATTTACTATAATTTGTAGCAATAATTAATTATTTTGTTAATTTAGTGAAAATTGAATTATAAAATTTCCAATTTTCAAATAAATAATTGAAAAACTTTAATAATTTCCATAAGTATTGGATACTACATTTATAATTACCATAATTAATGGAACTATATTTATGGGTTTGGGGGGTGTTATAGGGGATGACCCCCATGGTAGGAATGGCAATGGGCAGGTCCAGGGCGGGGATCATACTCCCCATCCCAACCTCGAGTTTTAAATTAATCCCTGCCAAAAATTTTATCCTGCATTCCTGATCTTTCACAAAGAGGGCTTCCCCACCAAGGACTTGAATCCCTGTTTTTTAATTAAAAGTTTGTTTTTAGAAAGATATTTATTTAAAATAAAGGAAAATTAAAATGCAAATAATATTTTAAATATATTTTGATATATATAATTCAAAAATATTATAAATAACATAAATAATATTATATATTTAATATAATATATACACATATATTTAATACACACACACACATATGTATCTATAATCGGGGTTGGGGTTGGGTGTAGACTTCACTCCCCATCCCCAATCAAGTATTCCTATTAATTCCATCCCCACCCTATCCCCACTAAAGCAATCTCCATCCCATCCCCACCTGATTTGGGAGGTTGGGTAGTTGGTGGGGATGGAGAAAATTGCCATCCCTACACCTCGGTTGTGTAGCTCCATAGAACATTAAGTTTTAAGTCCAATTCCGTGCATCGCACGAGGGCCCACTAGTGTGTGTGTGTGTGTATAGGTTTTTGGTGATACACTGGAATCCCTCACAAGGGCTGTTTTTGAATAGTACAGTACCACACTTATGCTGCATTTGGCATTCCTTATTTTAAGGACTTATCTATTTTTTGCAATTAAAATCTCAGTGTTCATAGCGGTATTCGAATCCCCACCTTGTTGGAAGGAACCAGCTAACATACCAACTGGACCAACCCTCGGTAAATAATGATACTTGATTTCTTTTATTTTTTCAGTCAAGTATTTCGGAGGTGAATATGTTGGGAGTTCTAGTGTTTAAACATATAGGAACTCCCTAAATCCAAGTATATAGCGTTTTAGATTATGCTAAAAACCGATACCTATCATACAATACAGTATGAAAACGATTGATACTTGGAAGCTTGAACCCTGCATACTTCCAGGGACAGGACCATGAGTTGGAGATGTGCCTTTTGGACGATCAAATTTAATCCAATTTGAATTCCAATTCAATTCGGATTTAGGTATCTGTTTAGCCATAATTGGGTCGAATAGGATCTGAAAATATGATCCGTTTAGTAATCAGATCGAATTTAGATATTGTTTAATCCTATCGGATCTGCGTAATGTATATTAACTATTAAAGTTGTTTAGAATCAAGTGAGATTGTGGTTAGATATACTTATTGTCTTCTTATACCATAATTTTATTTTATATTCAATAGTATAAATTTATGTTAGTATTATATAAATTTATTAGTATTTTAATCAAATATAATTCAATTCAGATATCTGAATATATAAATAAATTGAATTCGAATATATATTCTACATATCCATAAGATATCAGATGGAATTCAATCTGGTGGGTCTTTTCTGATCTGATTTGGATATTACCCCAAGAAGTTGATCGGATCCGTTTGCGTCATGTTTGTAGTTCCTGGCAATCAGGCAACTCTATGCAATCAAGCCACAACCACTTGATTTGATTTGATTTTTTTTTCCGCTACAATACTTGATTTGAAATTTAACACCGGAAAATCTGGACTTCAAATTATGCAAAAGACAAAATCGAGGTTGAGTTGCCATAACCCAAACAATGCCAAACCGCAGAGAGACTCAAGGCAATGTTTGGTTAAAATTCTGCTCTAAATAATCACTATTTGAAGAATGTGTTTTGAGCCCAAATTTTTTAAGCTAAATTTTTTAGCTTCAAAGAATCAATTCTTAGAACGAGTTTTGAGCCTAGAAAAAATATGAGTTCTAATAGTTCTCATAAATCTAAACTCAAAAGTGATCCTTGAATTAATTCTTTGAAATCATGCCAAAGACAGCTATATTTCCAAGATGAAGATACATTTCCCTATCTATTTAATTCTTTTCCCCCCCTTCATATCCCCTGTGCTTCAATGAGGCTACCATTCATTCAATCTCTGATGTTCAAATTTGATCTCAGAATACAGATTATGTTTGTATTAAAGAGAAGTAAAAGAAAGATAAACTGGTGATTTGAAGTAAAGATTGGTAGGCTCATGTTTGTTGCATCGATATCATAAATTGAAGAGAATTCCATAGTAGCCAAAAAGGGGAAAGAAAATGTTGTACTTTGAATTCTAAATACTAATAACCTATTTGCTCTAAAGTTTACAGGTTATGCTCTAGATTTGAAGAAATAAAGGATTTGAATGGAGATATCTGTGCTTATCAGGACCGGAAGAACTTCTTTCTTCAGGATGCTTTCAGATCATCCAAGCCAACACTAGCCTGCGGTGAAGTTAAAATAACCAAGATGATGAATGTATCATAGCATGAAGAATAAAGATTCTCTCATGGAACATGCAATAAGAATTTCATTTCTCTGATGCTAACCATCTAACAAAATTATATCCTTATAGAGACAGCATTTCCCCCCTTTTTCAATCTCTAAAGTCTAATCCATCTCATTCATTTTATTTTCTTAGATGCACTTAACTCGTTTATCTGGATCCTTGATTCTCACCCCTTTATTCCTTACCTAGACATCTTTTCCTTCTAAGTTATAAAACACTTAAATTTTTCTCTTGTCCCCTTAGAATGACTATTTTTTATTGGATTCAACTAATAAATTTGACTGCCTATGTAAAAACTATTAAATTTGACTACAGCATAGTTAGTCTGGTATATGCAGAATTACTTCATAGAAAATTAATCATCTCCTATGCAATGAAGCACTTACAAGGAACTTGTGGTTCTCTTCAAGAAGTGGAGCAAAGTTTGAGCAGAACTTCTCAATGTCAGAATTGAGATCACCTGTACCCCCTATAACCTCCATGAACTTCTTCCTGTCTGGAGCAAGTTTCATGGCAATCTGAAATTTCAGCACATAATAAGTAAAAGAAACGAAAATATGAAACAACCTTTTGTTTTGCATGTAATAATAATAATAATAATAATAAATAATTTCAAACAGGTATTTTTAGCTGGAATTATTCAGTGTTAGTTTTGATACTGAAGCTCTTATGGAGTCATGGTAGTTTCTAAAACCTAACTAATTACATCTCATGCCAACTTTTTATGATGAGCCCAGGATTTGAATTCAAATGGATTTGAAAAATGTATCTGTAGAGAGCTCTCAGTCTGATTAATCTCCTCTATCCAATCTTTGGATCAGAAGCAACCAAAAGGCTTAATATTTAGAGGACTAGAGTCGAAGGCAAAGTAGTTGCACTATCACCTCAATGAAGAAATAGAGGGAAGAAGGTTTGGAATAAACATAAAGAAAAAGGAAAAATTCAGAAAATAACCAATTTCATGATACTGAAGACCATAGTTAGAATATAGGTTAACATGCTTTGAGAGCCATTGTCAAGGAACATACTAATGGCAGGAAAATATTCAGAATATTTTCATATGTTGCAAAACCATTGAGAAACCATATTAAGAGGCTTGAGAAGTATACAGTGAAACTTGAACTCGCAACCCAGCCATGCCATTTTTTCAGGGTTTGGTTGTAGGACTCAGTACAAGCTCGAGACATAGTCCAATCGGGATGCTCCAACAAATTCCGAAACAGTTCAACCAAGAAATCCATTGCCCTGAGTAAGCCATCCAATCATGCTTTAATTAATACATGAATGGTGATGTATGAATGGTTGCACTTGCATGTGTAATGCTTACATCTATATATACAACCAAACAACTTCATAAGAGAAAAATAATACTGTAGTTAATATTTAGACGCACACACAAGCACAGACAGACAGCTATACCTTGTTAACCAGAGAAGACCATTGGTGCAACTGGATGAAGCTTTTGCAGTTTTAGCCTCAACCTCTGCTCGTACCATGCTGTACAAGAGGTTAAATTCTGAAGGGTTGGAACAATATTTTGATTCCAATCTCTGCAAGAAAAGAATCAATAGAGATTTTCATTTAAGAGTCATAAAAAATTCTATCTTCAGAAATCCGGATTAGAAAATCCCATTCAATTTGAAACTTTTTTTTTGGAGTGAAGACCAAGTGGATCAATCTACAACTCCAAGATTTTAACTACACATTTGAAGTCAAAGACAAGGAGTTGAATTAGTGTTGTTCTGAGAAGATGTTGAGAGGGGTTTTAATCTGTTGGGATATCAAAGCAATATGAAACTTGCTCAATATTGAACAGTCGTTTTCARTTACTCAGTCAAAGGCTTCATAGTTACACTCTACAAACGTTTAACAGCAAGTGTTTTTTTGGTTATAATGAATAATGATGCGAGTAGTAAATACTGATTATACTCTTCCCACCCTTCTTTGTTATTTTGTCTCATGTCATGCCACAATTTACAATCATGATCATCTAAGTGACCAAGCATACATAAATCCTTTTTGGACCTTTTAGTCTATCTAGGCACTCCTTGAAATACTTGGGAAGATGGAATTATCTTACTCCAGCCTCTCCTAACAATGATATGGTTCCACCAGGGCACCAAGCCTTAGTTGAAAAAGTCGCTTGAGTGGTAAATAGGCATTCCCATAATCGGTTAATTCAACTTGGAACGTTAAGTGTATATGTTGCTTTAATACTCCAAATTCAGATCATAAATATGAAGTATAGTTAGAGATATCCAATCAAATGAGCTGAACATTCCTTGAGCCACATACTTAAATGACAACTTAACTAAAATTCAGTAACACGAAAAACGGATAGGAATAAAGGAAAGAATAAGAAGACATCTTGAATATTAGAAAGATAATTTAATCCCAACCTCAATCAAAAGGAGAGCATCAATCATGGAAATGCATCAGAAAAGAGATCAGCTTACCGAAATATTACCACCAATATCAGACTTTACAAGTGCCATAGCAGCTCCAAACTTATCTGGCATTATAAATAATTCAAGAAGTCATTTCATCATTATGCTTCTGAACTTATCGTATTGCGTTTTGGCAGAACAGAGTAGTGCATAGATTTCATTACATATTTACCTTTTGTTCAAAAAAGATTTCATTACATATTTACCTTTTTCTCAAAAAAGATTTCATTACATATTTACATGGTAATGTAATGGCAGTACAAGTAAACTTAAGAAAGTAGCAGAAAGCTTATGCCAAATAAATTCCTAAGAAAATAAAGAAAAAAAATTCAAGAAATTTCATACAAATTTCAAGGAAGGAACAAATTTCACTTGTCTTGGCATGGAAACAACAAATCCATCAGAACTTGTTAGAAGATGTAAAACAAGAGTAAACAGAGGAAGAAGAAGAATTTGTTATATTATTATCAATCTCGTATGTATATTACAAGTTACAAATTCTATGTTAGGAAAGAAGACTAATCAAATTCCTACAAATCAGTCCTACAATCAAGGTAAACCATATCTCCCTAGTATTTACTTCCTATTTTAATTATACAGTCTGTAACATCATATCTCCCTAGTATTTACTTCCTATTTTAATTATACAGTCTGTAACACCTCCCTAGTATTTACTTCCTATTTTAATTATACAGTCCGTAACATCATATCTCCCTAGTATTT